GACTTGTTCCAAACTACTAAAAAGGCCTAGAAACCCTAGTTTGGAATGGACCGTTCCCAGTCCAAACTGGGTCGTTTCGACCCAAGTTGTTATGAGTAAAATTCAAATCCAGAATGGACCATTCCAATTTCAGAACAGGCCATTCCAGATTCAAATTTTACTCTTAATAGACTGATCCAAAATGGGTCATTCTAGTCAGATCTGATGTTTATAAATAGCTCATTAGGCACTATTCAGGGGATCGAAAAAATTTACCTAGGTAGTCTTACATAGATAGAAATGCTCTGCATTCAAAGATTCACTAAACTCGACTAAGAGGTATTGCAATCAATATTCTTCTTCCTCCTTTACTTCCTTATTTTAATAAAGGTGCTTCTGAATAAAAAATAATCATGTAGACATCGTAGTATAAATCGTGTAATTTAAATTTCAAGTATGTAAATAACTACTTGTACAGGGGAATTAATATTTAAAATATTATTTATTATTATACTAACTTCCTCACAGGGTACCGATTTAATTAGGGCATTGTGGGGGTGCTTAATACCTTCCCCACACGTAACTGATCCCCGAACCCAATTTTAGAAGACCTTTATTGAATTTTTAAAGATCTTTTCTTTTTTCAATGTTTTGAGTAAAACATTGGTAGTGACTCCTTGAATCTACTTTCAAAACCATTAATTAAGGATTAGTCTAGTCTCTGAGCATTCCTTAATTAACATGATCTTTCTAAACTAGTAGTCTATCCCATTGGTCGTAAGATCAGAATTTTTTGGGTTACAACAGTCTTTACACAGATAGAACTCTAGGGTAAGTGTAATTTTTTTATATTTAGTTGAGAGAACATTAAAGGTCACTCAAAGTAGTCCCTTTGCCTTTACACACTCAAAACTAGTGGACAAGTGTATTTTCTCAGTATTTAACCAAGAAAAGACTCAGGCCTTGCTCTCTCAATGCTAACCTGAGAATGACTTGAGTTGACTTACATGGCCCATCATAACTTTTCTTTGAATGTATGCTTTCTTTATGTATTTTGCCGATCAGGGATATGTATCCTGTCAATTATTGGTCGAGTAGGTCGCAACCAAATAATTCACCATGTATGTCTCTCCTTAATGAGGATCGGTTGAACCCATTTGAGGACTATATCTAGCTATATTTAATACAAAATAAAAAACTACGATTGAATCCTAGAATATAGTCCCACTACAAGAAAAAAGATTATTATCTACGGAATTTTTTCCGTAGATAATGCTTAGTTATTCTAAATGAAATGCAATTTAGGATGCAAAGACAATCGAGGAATTCAACAAATATCATTCTCATTGATTTGTTTGTTTAGTGAACATTCATCACGCAATGCTTTTCAGTATGTTTTGGCAAAAACGTAGGAGTCTGAAGAAACTCAAGCTAGGTTGGCACATAGGTACGCTATCTTCTGCATCCAAAACATGCCTCTTCATTCCCTCTACTTGTTCGTGGACTGCCATGCTCATGTGATCGCAGACAGAGCGTGTTTCTTTGGCCTTCTCCTAATAGTATCCATTCATTGTTTTCATCTCATGTACCGCCTTTAGAGCTTTATCTCTTTGACGGGTGATTTCCTTGAGTAGCTCAAGCCCCCTTTCTTCCTTTTGTCGAAAATCAATGATGGTCGCGGCTTGTTCTTGCATGATCTCCCATCAGAATTGAGCTTCACTTTGGGCCTTGAATATTTCTCTCTGGGCTTTCTCTTTTGCTAGTGTCTCTTCTTGGAGTCTGTCTTTGAGTTGTGCTACATTTGACGAAGTTTCCATAAATGGCCTGCCTGAGTGAACTTTTGGAGTTTTCACTGGCTGGACATTTATATCGGCACATTCATCCTTTAGCCTCTCAATCTCCATGTCTTTTTTCTTACATTTCTTTTGCAAACCATCAATGCACATCTTGGATTCCTCATCCTTTTCTTTGAGAGCTTTTATCTGGGCTTCCAGAATTTCTATCTTTTTGATCAGGGGATCAATTTGATGTTGTTCGTTCTGGGCTACCGTCTTGGTCATGTTCGTGGCTTCACCTTGATTTATCCATTTTCGATAATCATCTGAGGCGGTCACCTGAGGTTTACCGAGCTCGCTATCTCCAAAATAAAGTGGCCTCTTCCAAGCCTCTCGTATGGTGTTAACTTGTGATTGCTGCCCTGAGGTATAAGAAGCAAATGCCGCCGAAGTCTTCTTGATTTGGTAGAGTTTGTGTCCTTCCAAGTTGTCTTAACACCAACTTTGGGGAGTAGGCTATGCATCCTCTTAATCCCATCAAAGGTAGGCTAGAGAACTGGCCACACCGTACTAACACGTGACTCGATCTAAACCAGGGGCACATCCATGTGAAAGTGTTTTCAGTGCATCCCTCAATTAACAGAGAAACAGAACACGGAATTATTCAAATTTGAACCTGAGATCAAAATTAAAAAGCAACTTATTTGTTTCTCAAATTGAACATATGGCCTGAATTCATCATAGTCCTAATAGCGAAGGTTACGACTGAATTCACCGTCCCGAATTATTAAAAAAATAATTTAAATAATAAAATATTAAATTAAATAATTATTTTATAATAAATTTATTAAAAATATTAATATTTTACAAACGTAGCTGAAACCCAAACCGAAACTCTAACGGTGCAGTAGCGGCGGAAACTCGGTGCTTGATTGGAACACTAATCATTCCTTTAACACATGAAATGCTGAAATATGCCAACGGAAACTCCTATTATAGCAAAATTTAACGGTGAAATCCCCGTTAAGTCGCTTCATTTGTTTATTTTATGTTATCTCTTTCTGTATCATTATCATATAATTTAAGTAACTTTCATATCATAATTCAATCAAATTCATTATACGATCACATTAAAAAAATCATTCAAGGACAAAACTTGCATATGACTTACTTCATATAGTTTTACTTTTTTTTATTATATATATATATAAGTTTAAAACTTTAATTCAATTTCATCTGCCCATCACGTTTTTTTACCAACTTCACAACTCCTATTGTATGGTGTTTTATAATGGTGTTGATATTTTCTGTACAACTATGATATATTTTTCTAACTTGGAACAGTTTTAGACATAAGGATTTTTTTTTGTAAGACATGTAAAAATCCTTATCTTCATTTCATTTGAAATATTAATAGCATCCTTTATTTGAATTGGATTGTGAGTTGTGACCCAATTCAGATTTAATATATTATATATAATATTTGTGTTTATTTAAATATATAAAAATTTAATTTAAATATAAATATTAATAAATTAAGTTGTATATATTTATGATTTATTCCAAATAATTTATTGAGCGTGATATGAACATTTTTTTTAGCAATATTGGTTGTGAATATGACGGGTCACACTTCACAACACGACACTAACAACGCATATAAATATATACTGAAGACAGTAATATAAGATATTTAACAGCTTCCCTTATCATGAGGACTTTTAAAAACTCTTAAGTGCTCCACTAGTACAAAACCTGTTATTTACGTCACTGTTTTGTCGTTAGAAAACAAAAAATTTAACGTAAAAAAATACCGTCGCATTTTTGAAATTTAAACCAAGTTTTTTACGTCAGACACCACTAGATCCGACGTAAAATTTAAAATCTACGTCGGCCCTTTATATAGTCCGATGTAGATTTAAAAATTTACGTCGAACCTCGTGGTGTTCGACGTAAAAAACTTGTTATATCCCCTTCCCCTCATTCATTTCTTCGCGCGCGCTCTAGGGTTTTATTTGTAAAACGTTCAGGCGATCTTTGACGACGAGTTTCTACGCATCTTGGGTGTTTTCGGTACGTTGAATGGTGGCGACGTCCATTCATCATTGTAGATCATTTTATCTGATTGTATTGAAGTTTTGGTGCGCGTCTTGCTTAAGTTAGCGTTTAAGGGTACTCGAAAGTGTTGGGATTCAAGGTTAATGCAAATAGATTTGATTGGAGGATATTTTTGAACTTAAACATTGTTTGTGTGTGTTGTTTTGGAGGATTTATGTTTATTTCGTAGGTATATTTTTTAAATAAAAACATACATATGTCATGTGTTAATTTTGCATCTAGAACAGTCCGTTCTCCAAGTAGAGCGGCCCGTTCTGCTTGCATATGTCATGTGTTAATTTTGCATCTAGAACGTCCCGTTCTCAAACCAGAACGGCCCGTTCCAGATGCACAATTAACACACAACGAGTGTAAGCAGAACGACCTGTTCTGGTCTTGGTTTTTTAATTTTTTTACGTCGGGGCTCGAAAACAACTAACATAATATTACATCGACTTTTAAACCTGACGTAGATTTACGTCTCCCGTATTTACGTCGAACGTTTTTTTGACATAAAAACCTAAAAAATAACAGACGTAAAATACTCCTTTTACACTAGTGCTCTAACCTTAAGACACCTACTAAATTATTTTCTTTGACTTTGAGACACCTTCTAGATTATTTCTCTAGTAAGTTATTTCACTAGAACACTTTTATAATTATAGTCGTGTTGTAATAAAAATAAATGGTTGTGGGAAAGATGATTGTTTAATTGTACCCATGAATGGGGTATGACCATCATGTAGTTTTGATAGCCATGATTCCACAATGCAATATAAATAAATTCTAGAGATTGTGGAGCACAAGTCAGTTTCAATTAAATATGCATGTAATAACATGTTAATCATTAATTTGTTATATTTGAGTACATGATAATGTCGATGATATCTCTAACAAACTCGTTATCATATTTTATTTACCATTAATTAAAAATTATAATCTTTAATAAATGTTGAGTTTGAATATATTTTTAATTTCTCAAGATTAAATTTATTTTTAATTCTTTAAATTTACAAGTGATTTTTTTAATTCTTATATATTATTTTTTTAAAAAAATATTCTTTTAATTTTTATGTTCAAATTTCGTTAATAAATTTATCAAATATAATGTTAAAAAAAATCTCGATCATTCTTTCTGACGCACATTAATTCCATGGCATACTACAATCTAGTTTACTTTTTTCATTAAATATTACGGATGATAAACCAATACAAAGGATTATAATCCATTTTGTAGAATGAAAGCACAATTTTAATCTTTCATGATATATATTGGTTATTACATTATCAACTTAACGAATTAATTTAAGAAGGATTTTCCTTGGGACAAGCTTGTGAAGAGGCTACTACCATTTGCTCCTCAGAAATGCCAGCATTGCACATGTTAGCAAAGGCTCTTGTGTATTTCCTTCCATAGATTGACAATTTACCGCAATTGCTCTCGTAAGTTTTTATCTGCATGAAATTTATCACAAACATGTATGTCATCTAGCATCATACCATACAAAGAGTGTGAATAATGTAAATTATCTACACATGTATATAAAATGATTATTTATTTTTGGTATTCTTGTTTTTAGACAATTTCAACCATTTATAAAATTATACAATAATAATTAATAAAGATAAAAAAAAAAAAAAGTTTCTTAATTTTTTCTTTGAATATGTTGTGCACCGGGAAGGTTTACCACACATATACACATGTCTCCACATTGGTGAGATATTATCCACTTTGGGTCCAAGTCTTCACGGATTTGCTTTTGGACATCACCCAAAAGGCCTCTCGACCAATAGAAACAATTATGTGTATATAAATTCATGTCCATCCTCTTATTTGAACGATGTGGGACTTTACTTGCATCCCAACAGAATATCTTAATAATTACTGACACCTTTTACTAATTGCATATGTATTAACAGAAAGACACATGTACCTTTTACCCACTAGTTGATGAATAAAGAGCCTAAGAAATTTTATGGTCAATACTTGTGTCTAAGAATTTCTTCCCATAACCAAAGAAAGTGGTGATGATTTATATGCAATCTATTATAATACTTACAAGGGTCTTGAAACAATCCCAATCATCGACAAGAGGCTGGCCTGGTGGACGAACATGGAGCAACATGGTAGAGATATTATTCTCTTCTCCAAACAAGAGATCCCCTATGAGATGGAAAACACTATCTAAATGCTTCCTATGTGCAATTTCATCATCCAACTCTATTTGAGCTTTCAACTTTTCCATAGAACCATCCGGGGCTTTTTGCAACTGAAACAATAAAGAAATAATTACTTCTCAATTTTTAGAACTTTTATGTTAAAAATCAGTGAGAAAAAGAAAAAAATATTCACATTTCTCTCTAGAACATGAACATATATATATGTAAAAAAACTAGTGATAAGATAGCTATGCTAACAAAAGATTTTAAATTCAAATTTTATTTTCTTTAGTATTTTATACAGATAAAAAAAAATATATATATGAACAAATTAAAAAATATCTAACCAAGAATTACCTCTAGCTTAAGGTAGAGTAAATGAGCATCTCGTTGGCTAACATGTCTAGTTTGAGGACTATATGGTTCAAAGGAATATGCATTTGCAGAGTTGGTGGGGTTGGTTTTAACAGGTGCACCAATGTAGGTAGCAAGAGTATCGTTCTCGAATTTTCTATCTCCGTATTGTTTCACATGAGAAGAGGTGTCGACATTACCAATTAACGTTCTTCGGCGAACCTATACACATAACTCATAGCATAATTTATATTGGATAAAGATTATTAAATGTATACAACAATATACATATATAAGGTTGAATTGATGGCTTACGGTTTCATATTGTTGCTGCAGCGTTTCTATTGTCATGTCATTTTTGTCACTGCTCCATAATCAAATTCAAAAAATATATCAAAGCAATTAATATATGAATTTGATCATAAAGATCGACCTATAGGCCTACTCAATTCTTGTACCGTTTATATATATAATTTCTAGTTTTTAATAAAGAGGCATCTAACAAACAGTATTGCCTATATCATTAGTTGTTGAGGTACGTATATGACTAAACATAAAAATATTGGAAAATTTTAAATAACGCATATTTATCTTATAATTTTTAAAAGTCCCTCACCTCTTCTCTAATTTTAAAAATTCACTCACCACCCTTAAAAAATACCATTAGTTAAAGTTAGAGAAAGAAAGAAAAATTAATAATCAATTCATACTTTTAATCATATACACGTTTATCCTTCGTTTCTGAATTATGTACAAAGTTTTATTTTTATGAAAATTTTTATTATTTTTCAATTTTAAAAATAATAATTTTTCAGCTCGCTCTTCAAAATTATCTCTTGAAATTGGGAGTTAAAATTGAATAAAAGATCAAGTTTTACTCAATTATTGAGACTTGCATTAATAATTTATTCTTTCTTAATAGTATATAAATGAGATTATTTTATATAAAAGGTTGTATGTGTCACTTAAATAAATAAATAAAAAAAATTAATGTTTACTTAAAAATTAAAATTAAAGAAGTGGTATCTTCCATTTAAAAAACTTCAACATAAGTCATAACAATTTTTCCAAAAAAATATGTGTTACATTTAACTAATCGTACAAAATGACTTATTTAATTAACATAACTAATTATAAAGAATTCATATAGAAAATAAATAATAAAGTAATAACTAGTTTACTAATTAAAGAACTGAGAAAGCATACAAAGATGATTATTTAAACAGTGCATACCTATCTTCTAACCACGAAATGCTGTACACATCTCCCAAACAAGTGGTGTACTCAGTTGGAGGAGAAGGGTAGGAATGAGGACAATAATATGCAAAACTATCCTCATCTGCGTTGGAAGCTGTGGTCGCATATATGCTTATGTTATTAGGTAGTATCCCTTCAAACATGCTCCCAGATTCACATGCTTCCAAGTATATCACCTTTTTGTGTTCCAATGAATCAATTTGTAAAAATAATACATAATAAAAGGATAACATATGTTTCATTTAACTAAAGAATTAATTATAATAATAAGCCCAGGTCCTCATATATATAGGTACAAATTTGATATAAACATTGATACTAAAATTATTATCCATGAAGATATATACATATGATTTGGAATTTATGTCTAATTTTCTTAAACGTGGATCATGACTATCTCAACAAAACATATTTCTATTATTATTCTTTAACCCTGTTTTAAATAAAATAATATATATACTAGCTGCATTTGTGATTGGGGTAACTAATTTCACCAAATTGTTATTTGAGCCCCTTTTTTTTCATTTTCTTTGAAGTGGAAAACATTATTAACGGATGAAAATTTAATCATTATTAAGAATTTGGACATTTAGTTTTATTAAATAATTAAAACGAAACAACTTGACATCAGATATGATTTATTATATGAACAAATTACATATGTATGACTAGATTTTCTTTCCACTTGACAATAGAGTCTAAACAATTTTTTTATTAAAGTTGAGGTCCTTATTTAAGTAGAATGCTAAAACCGATTATAATCGTAACTGATTACTATAAAAAAGGGTCCTTCCTAATAAATTCTTACTCTAGGGCCATCTCCATCCTAGCCGTTTTTATTTACTTTTTCTATTTTATTAAACACCATGGTTTAATAAGACTCTTCTATTTGAGTTAATTTCTTATTTATCATGCATGCAATGCAACAAGTGCTTAAATAAGCATGAGTTCTTAAAAAATTTCTAGGTATTGAGTTTGTATGAAATATAGTGATAAAATGTGAGGGTACAGAGTTATTTGTGGAGCATTTGATAGTATCTTTTCAGAATTGTTATTAAATTTTAGAAGATATAAATATTAGTGATGGATAATAATGGTAAATCCCAACAAAGTAAAGTTCTATGTAGATGAGTGAGCTAGTTAAATTTGTCATTGATGACACACGTGTCATGTCATGTGTGAGATAAACACAACATAGAAGCAATTAAAACTCACCATCTTTTTGTAGGATTTAGCATCATGTTTCTTCTTCAAGACATTCACAAAATCGTTGGCCATGACATATTCCCCTACTGGCATGGCTGTTCAGATAATATTTTACCATATTAAACATTTGAATTTATATAACAAAAAAAATAGCATTCCCACACCTAATCAAAAATTTGTATTTTCACAACAACATTTAAGCTTACATATATTTTTAATTCCTATCAAATTAGTAAATTTTAATTTTAATTTCTCTAAAAAAATTTCATTTCTTTAAAATCTGGAACTACTATTTTTAGTCTATAATATCATATAAAATTTTTAATTAATTTATTTATTTAAATATCAAGTAACCATTTTTAAATGTTACTCATAAGTCATAAAGCTTAGGGATATCATCTTGATTTGAAGTTACAAGAAACATTTGAAAGTAGTGAGTTACTTACTGACAAGACCAGGAGCACCATGATCCGAATAATAAATGAAAATGGTGTCATTGGGTCCACTGTCCACAACCTTGCCACTTCCTCCAGAGAGAGCACTTCGGTTACCACTAAGCACAGCATAGAAGTTTTTGGCATTTGCAGCATCTCCAACATAATCCTAAAAGAATTATATTCATTATAAAAAAAAACAAGTTTATAGACATTTATTAACAAATATATTATTTAGCAAGTGATCATCAAGAAAAACCAAGTTTATATAAATAGATATGCATACCTTGGGAACTCCTTCATAGACATTTGGACCATTGGGTTTATTTATTATAACACCAGCTCTTGGGTTTTGGGGATCGAAAGCAATGTCATCATACATGAAAACAACTATGTTTTCATCTTTAAGACCACCTTTCTTTAGTATTTGGTAGGCATGGCAAATATCAGCTTGGTGCCTATAATTTCCATAACCATTTGAACCTGCTACAAGAATGGCCCATTTCTTTCCCCCTATGTTCTTACCATGCCTATGAAGCTTTAATGGGTCAGCCATGGGACCAACACCTTCCAACACACTCACTGAAAAACTCATCCATAGTGAGGCTAACAATGCAACCCAATTTCTAATCTTTGGTTTCGTCATTGTGAAAGAGGAAAATTTGCTAATTAAGAAGACACAATGGATCCGAGTTATGTGAATATCAAGCAAGAGTGATGCTTGCATCCAATTCAATAATATTTATATATATACGACAACCGAGCCAGTCAAAATCACATGGGACGTGTTCCCACTCATTGGTTTATTGGAAAAGAAAAATTCTAATGCTCCGAAATTTATTTCGAATCTTTAAAAAATTAATTTAAACTATAAAATATTTAATTAAATAGTTGTTATATAATAAATTTATTAAAAAGTATGAATATTTTAAAATTTCAGACTATTTTAAAATTATCTCTAATATAATTTTGGCTAGTTGACTATATATATAAATTCTATACAAAATATAAAAATTAAACTCTTCTGTTATTCGGTTATAGAATATTACCATTTCTACTAACTGGCTCTTTTACTTGGTTACTTCAAGTTTTCTACCCAAGAGCACTTGATTGTGGTATCGGTCTTTTCAACATAAGGGTTTTTCTCCATTGTTGGAGTTGAGCATGAGGTACAACGACGGGCAGTGTTCATCGTGTTAACTGAGTTGTGGAGATACATTGTGTTCCTGCGTGGGAACACTCCTCTCGTCGTTCTTCCTTCCTGATCTCCTAAGTCTTTAGTCCCGACCGAACACTGTCTTCGAAGGGTGTGGAGGGTACCTGCAAAGGCACTCCAACGATCAAGTAAGTATTCGGTATGGAGCAATAAATGCCTTTATGTTGAATAGTAACGTACCTCATTTATGTCACATCACCTGTGTATTTATAGAGACACAATTGGGCCTGGTGGGCCTTCAGTCTTGGGAGATGGGTAACATCTGAATTAACCTTAATCTCTTCCTAATCAGGCACGGTAATTACTGTATAATAAGTGTCTAATTTTGTCACGTGTTGTTCTGACTGGTTTTTGTTGAAGTCCTCGGCCAGGTACAAGGCCGAGAGGGTATTCGGCCTATCCTAAGGCCGAGGAGGTGTTCGGCCTATCCTAAGGCCGATGGGGTGTTCGGCCTAGCCTAAGGCCGAGTGGGTGTGGTAGTGTGTATACGGCTGGTCCTTGTCGAAGTCCTCGGCCCGGTACGAAGCCGACAAGGTTTTTGGCCCACCCTAAGGCCGAGGAGGCGTTTGGTTTAAGTCAATGCCGAGGGTTTTGCTCCATGCTCTTCTGAGTTGGTCTTTGTTGAAGTCCTCGGCCAGGTACAAGGCCGAGAGGGTGTTCGGCATACCATGAGGCCGAGGAGGTGTTCGGACTATCCTAAGCCCGAGGGGGTGTAGTAATGTGTTACATCGGTTCGGGTCCCCCTTTTGGCCTACTATCTGACCGAAGGGGTACCCATCTGTGAACAGCATCTTTGTCGGTTCGGGCACCCCTATCGGCTTATTGCTTGACCGAAGAGGTGCCTCCTAGTACACTACCCCCCCCCAGCCCAAGGAATGAAAGACGAAGGGGTTTTGAGTGCTGAGAACGTTTTGATGGTTTTTAGGGTTTAGGGTGCAGGAGTGACGTGGTTTTCGGGAGGTGTGATTTGATAATGACCGTTGCATGCTATAGCCGTCTTTGGGATGTGTGCCCTAGGGTTGTGTCCTTTCGTTTCAGAAGCATTTATGAGGGGCTTTTGGGTTGCCGTGGCCCTTTCCTATAAATAAGGTATGTAGATGATAGCTTGACTCGTGCCTTGTTGATAGCAAACACTGCCCCGACACCCGTATCTCTCTGAGCCGAATAGTTGCTAAGGTAGGCTACTTCAAGCTTTTCGTTGAGTTTTTGATGCGATGGCAGCCGAAGGTGTGACATTGTCGTCAGGGTCTTCGGCCAGTGCTAGGGTTTCGGCACAAAATGCCGAGGCTGAGATGCTGGCCTTCAATACCGAGGTGGAAGTAGTCGAGGGTCTTAGGGAGTCACCATCCGACAGTAATGGAGAGTCTGGTGGTGATTCGTCCGGTTCGGATTTACCCGATGCTGAGATGAGCCCCGGGGATTACAGGCAAAAGTATCCCCCCTGCGAAATTCCGGGGTATGAGTGGGTTGATGGGGAGGTGGCGGCATATTTCTCTCGTTTTTATGAGAGGGTTGCCGTGATACGGCTCCTTAGTCTGTGCATGTTGGGCCGGTGGGATGGTTGGGAGCCGTATCCTATCATGTTGCGTCGGTGCCGAGCCGAAGGCCCTGGGGGGCTAGACCTGGTTTTTCTTGCAAAGCAGGAGGGTCAGGGGGATTTCTTCTACATGTACGAGTGCTTCTTTCGAGAACTCGGCATGTCGCTCCCATTTGACGATTTTCAGATGGGGGTTCTGCGCGTGTTGAACGTGGCACCGACGCAGCTGCACCCAAACGCGTGGGCTTATATGCAAGCATTTAGGGTACTTTGTAAATACCATTATATAGAGCCGACCGTAGGATTATTTTTACATTTTTTCTGTACTCGTCCGTCTAATAAGACCGTGAAGTGGCTCTCGTTGATTCGGAACGTCGACCGACCGCTATTGACGCCCTTCACGTCGTCCTTCAAGGGTTTTAAATCGGGGTTTGTGAAAGTAATCATAGACCCTGTTGCCGGACGGAATTATTTTTATGATGCCGAGCAGAAACCCCTTTTTCCTTTTTATTGGACCCGGCAGCCTCAGAAGTACGATGACTTTCCCGAGGACATGATGACCGACGCCGAGTTGTCGGCTTTAGACGTTCTCAAAGGATTGCCGAAATGCATCCCTTCTCGGTTTCTGGTGTTGCTGCCGAAGTCGTCTCGGCCTCGTTTTGATTTAGAGGGTATGTTTTGTTACTTCGTATTGATTGTGCTTGTTGGGTTGATGTGTGACTTGTTTGATTTTTGCAGGCTGGATGGCGCAACAAGGATTGGGACTGTCGTACCGGCAATTGATGCGGAGCAAAGCCCCGGCCGGGACCTCTGCCGAAGATCATCGCAGCGTTGCCATTGATCGGCAGCCTCAGGCCACGGATGTTGCTCGGCCCACGCCTTCTGTTATTGCCCCTCCCGATTCCAGGGGCAAAAAAAGAAAAGACAAGGGGAAAAGGAGGACCGAAGCTACGGGGGTGGAAGCCTCTCGGCCTAAGCAACGAAGGGTTGAGGGCCCTTCCACAGGTTTGGCCGTACCTTCGGCCATCGTTGCTAAGGACTTCTTATCGAAGGAAATCAGGCCGGCCCGAATGATGTCTTCCAATCTGCTATCGGCCCAAGGGCATATCATGCTTGATGCGGCCACTCCTTCGGCTCGGTGGGCGATGGCATGCGAGTTGCACATGAGGGCCACCGCCATATTTCGGAAGATGGCCTTGGAACCGATGGGAGACTTGCATAACATCCAAAAGAGCCTGGAAGATACTAAGTCGGCTCTGCAACAATCCCTCTCGGTGCAAGAGGCTTTAGCTGGGGAGAAAGCGGTGTTGGAGGCCGAGGTGGCCCACTGGAAGGAGGCCTATGAAGGGATGGAAGGTCGAGTTCAGGCGGTGGAAGATGCCGAGCGGATGCGGGTTGAGGAGGTGAAGGATCTCCAGGCTGAAGTGGAAAGGGCGAAGGCCGAAGGTGATGCGGCGATGGCAACCTTCCGGGCTGAATGCGAAGGCAAGATTGTGAAGGAGCACGAGGAAGGGTTTTGGCACGCCGTTCGGCAAGCCAATCATTTCGGCACTTTCCCCCCGGACTTCGCTTTCGAGCTGAGTAAGGACTTCTTTCAAGGGGAGTTTATGGATTTCGCTGCTGCGCCGGATGATATGGAGCTGGATGACGTGGCGCCGCCTCAGTCAGCCCCCGCGGAGGATCCGGGGACGACCGTGAATGAAGATGAAGAGACCGAGGAGACCACCCACGCGGATTGAAGGGTGTTGGTGTTTCGTTTTTGATTATACATCTGTTTTGTTAATGATGTATATAGGTATATCGGTCTTTGCTTTTTGATTCTTTTTGGGCCGTTTGAGCCACATTTGGTTGTACCCTTCGGCCGATAGTGCCGTTTTGACAGTTCTAATGAATTTGTTTTTTACATTCATTCGCATGAATTTGTGACCAATTCGACTTTAAATAACTGTTATTGGTGGGCATAAATAACTGTTTAATGTTGGTGTGGTGATGGTTGTTTGGTCGGGAGGGAATTTCGGTTTCGACCTTGGCCGAACGAGGGTGCTCGGGAGGGAAAGTGTTCGTCCTTGGCCGAGTAGTTGAACTCGGGAGGGAATTATCAACCTTAGCCGAGCGATTGTGCTCGTGAAGGATTCACTAACTCATCCTTGACCGAGCGAGGGTGCTCGGGAGGGAAAATACTTCGTCCTTGGCCGAGTAATTAAACTCGGGAGGGAAAATACTCGTCTTTGGCCGAGTAGTTAAACTTGGGAGGGAATGGTTGTCAACCTTGGCCGAGCGAGTGTGCTCGGGAGGGAATTTAGTTTTTAATGAGCAAATGAAAGATTCACATATTTGTTTCATTAACATGGTGCCTCGTTAAAAACCTCCTCTCGGGAAGACCTCTTCACATTTTCTTTTTAAGAGGAGAAAACCCAAGGAGAGGAAAAGAGTGCACCGAAACAATTACATTGCGTTCGTTAACTAAAATAGTGCTTTAAATGTGTCGCGTTCCATGTCCGAGGGATGGCTTTTCCTGTGAGTTCTTCCAGTTTGTACGCTCCGTTCTGCAAGTTGTGCATTATACGGTAGGGGCCATCCCAGTTGGGTGCCAACTTCCCTTGAACCTTGTCCCTTCTTGCTTCTCCCGTGACCCGCCAGACCAGGTCACCGGGTTGGAAACCTCGCGGTTTGACCTTCGATTGATGCTTTCGGAGTAATCGGGTTCGGCAAGCCTCCATGTTGATAAGGGCTTGGTCACGCGCCTCCTGAACCAAATCCGATTCGACGCTCAGTGCTTCATCATTGGTTTGTTCATTGAATAGTGTTCGCCTCAAGGAAGGCTCTCCTACTTCCACCGGAATCATGGCATCTGTGCCATAAGTTAGCCGAAAAGGGGTCTCTTTGGTTGAACTTTGCGGAGTGCAACGGTAAGCCCATAAGATTTCTGGCAAGTGCTCGGGCCATGTCCCTTTAGCTTGCCCGAGGCGTCGCTTCAGCTCTTTAAGGATAACCTTGTTTGCCGCTTCGGCTTGTCCGTTGGTTTGGGGGTGCTCTACCGAGGTCATTTTGTGTTTAATCCCTAACCCGGCCAAAAACTCGTTGAAACGGCGGTCAGTGAATTGCAAACCATTATCCGTGATCAAAGCATACGGGATTCCGAAACGGGTAATAACATTCTTCCAAAAGAATTTCTGAACGTGGTTAGCCGTGATTGTAGCCACTGCCTCTGCTTCGATCCATTTGGTGAAATGGTCAACGGCCACAAGGAGAAACTTGACTTGGCCTTTTGCTGGCCGGAAAGGTCCCAAAATGTCCATCCCCCAGATAGAGAATGGCCAGGGGGCGGCAATGGAGTGTAGCCCCTCGGGGGGTTGGTGCATCAACGGCCCGTGTTGCTGACATGGATTGCATTGTTGAACGAACTTCGAGCAATCCGCCACAAGAGTTGGCCAATAATATCCTGCCCGGACGACTTTGGTTGCGAGAGTTCGGCCTCCTGAGTGGGTTCCGCATATGCCTTCATGTATTTCCCGGATTACATATTGTGCTTGATCTGGCGCCAAACATTTCAACAAAGGTGACGAGAAACCCCGTTTGTATAATTCTCCCGCGATCAGTGTGTATCGAGCCGCAATGGTTCTCATCTTTTTCGCCTCCAATGGATTAATAGGCAACGATCCGGTTACCAAGTACTCTATTATTCCGGTCATCCAATTGGGTGTTTCTTGCTGAACTTGCAAGCATTCGGTCTGTACGATACTTGGTTGTGGCAATTCTTGTTGTATCATGCTGCACAAATGGCTAACCTTCTTGCTACTAGCTAGCCTGGCCAACTGATCGGCTTTCATATTGAGTTCTCGAGGCGTGTGTTTGATCTGTATATCCTCGAAACCTGCTTTCAGTTTATTAAACGCATGAAAGTATAGTAACAACATTGGTTCTTTAATTTGGAAGGTGTCGTTGACCTGCCCTGTTACCACCTACAAGTCGCTCCAACATTGTACTCTGGGGATGCCCAAGTCTTTGGCCAACCTTAGGCCTGCCAGAAGGGCCTCATATTCGGCTTGATTATTGGATGCCTTGAAATCGAAGCGGAGTGACTGTTCGATTACTACCTTGTTGGGACCTTCTAAAATAATGCCGGCACCACTGCCTTGTTGGTTTGACGACCCGTCTACATGCAGGGTCCAAAGATGGGAAACGGGGAGCGCTTGGGGTGTGAATTCATTCAAGAAGTCGGCCAAGCTTTGTGCCTTGATGGGTCCTCTGGGCTCGAAGCGAATATCAAACTGGGACAATTCTACGGACCAAGCAACCATTCGTCCCGCCAACTCCGGCTTTCGCAGGACCTTAGTTATTGGACTGTCCGTTCGGACGAGCACCCGATGGCTCTGAAAATAGTGTTGAAGGCGCCTGGCAGTGTGTACAAGGGCTAGGACTGTCTTTTCCAGATGCTGGTATCTCGTCTCGGCGTCTTGTAGGACTCGGCTGATGAAATACACCGGCATTTGCTCCGTCGTTTCTTGGACCAGTACAGCGCTGATAGCCTTGTCCGACACCGATATGTAGACTATCATGTCTAAACAAGGGTCTGGCTTGCTTAACAGCGGTGGAGTCATGAGCGTCGTCTTGAAACTCTGAAAAGCTGTCTCGCATTCCTCGTTCCATTGAAATTTGGTGGCATTTTTCAATAGCGACATTATAGGTCTTGACTTCTCGGCCATGCAAGGGAGAAAACGGGCCAGAGAGGCTATGCGTCCGGCCAAGCGCTGTACTTCCTTTACATTGCGAGGACTTTGCATGTTGATAATTGCTTGACACTTATCGGGGTTGGCCTCTATGCCCCTCTTCGACAACATGAAGCCTAGAAACTTCCCGCCGGCTACTCCGAAGGTGCATTTAGCCGGGTTCAATCGCATGCTGTGTCGCCTCACCTCGTCAAAAATCGAGTGGAGGTCTTCCAAATGGTTGGCGGCGGAGTTGGACTTGATCACCATATCGTCCACATAGACCTCCAGACAGTTCCCTATTTGATGCCGGAAAATCTTGTCCATGAGTCTTTGGTAAGTGGCGCCAGCATTTCTCAAGCCGAAAGGCATGACCTTGTAACAGAAATTGGCTGAGTCAGTGATGAACGCAGTTTTTTCTTCGTCCGGCGGGTACATGGGTATTTGATTCTACCCCGAGTACGCGTCAAGGAAGCTTAGTCTTTGATGACCCGCCGCTCCGTCCACCAGTGCGTCGATGTGAGGTAGCGGGTAAGCGTCCTTCGGGCATGCCTTGTTCAAATCTGTGTAATCGGTGCACATCCTCCACTTGCCGTTCGATTTTTTGACCATAACGACATTGGCCAACCACGTGGAATATTTCACCTCTCTTATGAATCCTGCCTGAAGTAGCTTCGTCGTTTCTTCCTTCACGGCCCGGGCTCTCTCTCCACCCATTTTCCTTTTCTTCTGGGCAACTGGTTTGGCGTCACGGCACACCGAGAGTCGATGACAGTGAAAATTCGGGTCGATGCCCGGCATATTCGCTGCCGTCCAAGCAAATAGATCCGAATATTCCCGTAGGACTTGCTTGATGTCTCTAGCTTCTGTTTCAGATAGTTGAGAACTCAAAAAGGTAACCTGCTCTTCATTCTTTCCGAGTTGGAAAGGGACTGTTGTCTCAATAGGTTCGACCCTATCTTCATGTTCCAGCCTCGGATCAAGCTCAAAACTTTCCATTGATTTCTGCTTGCCGGTGTCGCCGATGACGTTCACGTCCCGTCTGGGCTTCGGAGTTGGTTCTACTCTTAAGCTGGCGAAGTAGCACTCGCGCGCTATTTTCTGGTCAGCATGCACAGTGATGACGGTCCCTTCTTCACTTGGGAACTTCATGGCCAAATGTGGGGTGGAGACGATGGCGCGGAGCTTGTTCAAGGAGGGTCTTCCCAACAGAATATTGTACAAGGTGTTGGCATGTACCACCACGTAACGAACCTTGATCCTCCTGCGCTGGTCATCCCCGAAGTAGGTGTACAAGTCTATGGTTCCGCGGGTGTCCACCCGTTCGCCCGAGAACCCAACCAAAGGCTCGTCATAGGGTGTCAAATCTTGTTCCGGATCAATGTCGTGAAAGTCTAGGTCAGTGAACGTAATAGGGGGCATGCGAATGGGAGATGCCCGCTTTCCAGTATAAAATGTCGGCCGAACTTCCCTGATCGACCAACGTTTTTTTCACGATGCAGTTGTTGATCTCTACGCTGATGACCATTGGGTCGTCCTGCACCGGATCAATGCCGTGAAAGTCTAGGTCAGTGAACGTAATAGGGGGCATGCGAATGGGAGATGCCCGCCCTATGGCGTTGACCGACTTGATAGCCCTTAAGTGTCTTTTCCGTGCTGAAGATGAGCCTCCGCCTCCTGCGAAGCCTCCGGCAATGGTGTTTATGACTCGCCTGGGCTGATTGCGGTCTCGTTGATCGTTTCTTTCTTGAGACCTACTACGCTCGCGGGATCGGTTCCGGGGGGGTACCCGATCTCGGTTATACCTTGTATGCTCCCCTCTTCCGGTGCGGCGGTCGTTTCTTGGGTTGTCTGTCATTCGGACGAAGTTTTGGAGGTGGTCGGCCTTAATGAGATCTTCGATGCGATCCCGAAGGGCGGAGTTGCAAGTTGGGGGAATTATTTCAGCTGCGTACTTTGATACTCTTGATTATTCTATTATTGTTTCCCCTATCACAGTGGCATCAGAGCTCTTTGGTTTGGGGCTATATTTACTTGCTTAAATGATGGAGGCAAATACAAAAATGGTTCCTTTGAATGGCACAAATTATCATTTGTGGAAGGGCAAGATGAAAGACTTGCTATTTGTGAAGAAAATGCATCTTCCTGTCTTTGCTACTCAAAAGCCGGATTCTATGTCTGAAGAAGAATGGGACTTTGAGCACCAACAGGTTTGTGGTTTTATTCGGCAATTTGTAGAAGACAATGTTTATAATCACATTGCAAATGAGACACATGCTAGAGCTTTATGGGAGAAGATTGAGTCCTTGTATGCTTCTAAATCAGGGAATAATAAATTATATTTGTTAAATTGTCTGATGAATTTGAGGTACAGGGAGAGTTCTTCCATTTCAGATCATTTGAATGAATTTCAAGGGCTCCTAGATCAGTTATCCGGAATGGGTATAAAATTTGATGATGAAGTTTTGGGACTATGGCTACTGAATACTTTACCTGAGTCTTGGGAGACATTTCGAGTTTCTATTACCAACTCGGCCCCTAATGGTGTTGTTTCTTTGCAAGCGGCAAAGAGTGGTGCTCTTAATGAAGAGATGAGAAGGAAGGCACAGGGTTCTTCATCTCAGTCTGAGGTGCTTATCACAGAAAATAGGGGGAGAAGTCAGAAAAAGGAACTGAAGGGTAGTAGAGAGAAGAGCAGGAGCAAGTCCAAGTCAAGATACAAGAATGTGGAGTGTTATTATTGTAATAAACCTGGGCATATCCAAAAGAATTGTTTTCTATGGAAAAAGGAGAACAAAGGCAAGAAAGGTAAGCAGAAAGAGAAGGATCATGATGATGATCGTGTTGCTACTGCTACTTGTGGTGATCTTGTTATTCTCAGTGACCATGGGTTAATTAATCTTGTATCAGATGAGAGCATGTGGATTATTGATAGTGGTGCTACACTGCATGTTACACCAAGGAAGGAGTTCTTCACATCTTACACTTCTGGTGATTTTGGAGTGTTAAAGATGGGTAATGATGGTGTGTCTAAAGTGATTGGTGTTGGTGATGTTTGC